CCCCCCAGAGGAGTGATTTCTCTCTTTCTGTCTCTCCAGCAAGTGCACATGCCCAATAGCAAAAATCCCTCTAAAAAAAATCTTTCTGCAGTTGTTTGTGCTGTTTAGGAGACTCCAACTTAGCCATGACATCAGTGGAAATGATGTTTTTGCAGAGGCATCCACAGGCAGAAAGCAAACAGATATATCTTTAACTAAACTAATTAAGTTATTTGAGATAAATCTGATGACAGAAGAAGCTTGATGTAAAACATTGGACCTAGCTTAATTCAAAGAATTAAGAATGGAATTCAAATGGTATTCTGTTAATAAGCAAACATGTGAACTATATCAAAGGACCTCAATAGGAGTTGACAGTTGGCATGGGGGTTAAGGCGCTGAACTCCCACATGGTTGACTGTGGTTCAAATCCCAGACCTGGTGGCTTGCTTTCTCACTGTCCTCCTCTGTCTCTCCCTGGTCCAACTGAATAATAAATAAAATTTAAAATATTTTGTTATAAAGGACTTTAATATGATTTTATGCATTTGTTTTCTTGAGTTAGATATTAACAATGTGATTCTAAAGGACTTTTGATGATGGGGAGATAATACTACTTAATTCATACTTACCATTTTAAAAGTTAATAAGAGGTTGCTATGCCTTTGTGTCACAAAGTAAAAATCTTATTTCAACTGGAATTATAAGAGTAAAATACTTGAAACTTGACAACTTGACTTCGTTTCATAATACTTAAAAATAAATGTAATAAAACATGGCAATTAATGTCATTTCACTTTCCTTTAATTTTATTCTCAAGTTTCTATTGTTGTAGTAGCAATTTCACCCTTTCAAATCTTCATGAGCATAAAATATAATCAACATTTTATTCAATTAACCTAACAGGTAATACTGAGATTAGTAAGATTTCTCAACCAATTACTTAAAAGAACATAGAAAAAATAAATAGCATATTAGGCTAACATTTACTGTAACAAATAAACTCCAATATTTCAGTGGTTTAATCCAATGGAATTTTATTCCTTGCCCATGTAACAGCCCAAAACAGGTGTTTATATTCTGCTGTTGGGGTCAGGGTACATCTGTCTCAGGTAGTCATACAGAGCTCTAAGTTGATGACAGCACTGTCTTCTCCAACCTATGATTGTAAAGATTACCATGGGCTTCAACATCCAAGTGATGGAAGAGGTGAGAGCGAAGATGCGAAACCATATTAGCTGCTTAACTAATTTGTCTTGCAAATGACAAAACTCTCATTCACATTCTATTAGTAAAACTAATTACATGGCCTCTTCCAGTCACCAGCTGCTATGGAAAAGTTAGCTTGGGATCACCATCCACTATGAAAAGGATAACCTTAATTTTGTATTGTTAGCCATCTTTGCTGTATTTGTGAAAGAATATTTTTTGTTGTTTTTGTTTTTTGAAGCTTTTTTGGTTTTGCCATAGGGCATGTGCACTCATGGGAGAGAAAGAGAGAGAAATGATGAGAAGGAAAGTGAGAAATAGCCAACCTGCCCCCTGTGGAAGTGGCAATGCCACAATTTCTTCTCCATTTTGCTCCTGGAATTCTGTGCACACGCACTCAGTGTGATTTTTAAGCAACTGTGTCCAGGACTTGATTCATGGTCAGCTATGTGAGAATCCAGTGCCTTAACCACATGCCACCTAATGGCCTCTGAATAGAATACACCCCAAAAAAAAAAGTCATTATAAAAATACATTGGATTAGAAATCAACTGAAATAATTAGGTATATGAGCATGACTGTTTCAAACTCATTTTCAAATCACCAAAATATACCAATTCAGGGATGAAAAATAGTTTAAAAGACTGACCATTGTATTGATATATTCAATACAAGAAAAATATTGGATTTTTTTTCCTCTTCTCCCCCAAAATATATGTTCTTCTGGGTTTTCCCAAAGGCATATTCAGATTTTTTAAAGTAATATTATTAATCTCAATGTGTCCTTTTGAAAAATGTAGAATCAGGAAGTTATTGACTATCCATTTTTTTTAAAGACACAAAAATCTATGGAAGAAATAAGCATTGTTTTTCATTTGTATTTGATAAATATAGAATAAATGAAAGTTACACAATTCTTTTTTAATTTGCATTATTGTCATAGGGTGCATATGCTCACTGGAAAGAGAAATGGGGGGAGATCATCTCCCCCATGGGGTATGGCCATGCAACAATACCTTATCCTCCACTCTTCTCCTGGGATTTGGGGCACACATCACACGTGTCAGGCATGAGTTTCAAGCTGCTGGTTCTGGGACTGGAACAGCAGTTGGCCATGTAGGAGTCCAGCATCTTAACCACCGTACCCTCTGATGGAAACAGCTATATAATTCTTTATCATATATATTCTCGCATGCCAATAAATTTTGTGAATGATATAAATGGATTCCTGATTCAAACACACCTTTTATGTCACAGATTAAAACTACCAGTGAAGGCTTTCAGTGAAATTGCATTTGCATTTGTTTATGGCTTGGTACCCATGAGAAAAAATCTGCATTGTCTGCAATTGTTATTGTCAAGTAAAAAGAATATATTTCAGTAACAATTTTGCTAAGGATGTCATTAAATACCAACACTTAAACCTGAAAGTATATCTTTAAAAATTTTGTAGACTGTTTCTCTTGGTTGAGGGTTTTATGATATGGAAGTGGGTGGGGAGGGGAGGAAGGAAAGACAGCCTCACTACAAACTGATGATAACAAGGTTGCTAAAATCACTCTTATCAATGGTCTTTGCACTTAACTTGTTTAGAAATACAAGGAAAAAACCAAAAAACTATGAGTCACCACATTTTGTCCATTCCAGCTTGACGGGTCACCTTGCTCCAGTGGATAGAAACCAAGTCAATATGAGGCAAGGTTCTTTAAACACTCACACTGATGCAGGTAAGCCAGAATGAAGGGAATATCCTGCAACTTTAGTTACTAAAAATGTTTTTGTTCAAGTCAAGAGTTCCGTGTTGTGAAGGCTGAGCTTCAAATCTTTGGTACACTATGCCATGGAACTCTTGATTAGACGTGTGGTCCTCTAATCAAAAAAAAAAAAATTATAGAAATTTTTGCAATAGGGTGTGTGCCCTCACCAGAGAGACAAAGAGAAACAGAGAGCTAAGAAGTGAGAAACCACCCTCCAGAGGGGATGGCCATGCCGCAATCCCTTCTCCATTCTCCTCTTGTGATTTTAGGCATGCATGCACATGTGCCTGGTGTGAATTTTAAGCTGCCACATCTGGGACTTGAACTGCTGTAAACTATGTGGGAGTCCAGTGATGTAACCATTACACCATCTGCTAGTCCTCTTCTAATCAAATTTTAATTAGACAGAACTATGGAACAGGACCCACTGGTCTGTGCTTTCCCGCCTATGATTTAACCATCCCCCTCCATGCGCGTGTGAGTGTATACATACACACAATATGAAAAGATAAGCCACGTTCCTATGCTACCCCCTGTCAATCATCCTCCCTTGCTGTCTCCCACCTGGGCCCCCAACACCACAACCACTTTTGCATAGATACAGAGCATAGGAAGAAAAGATGAACAAATGTCAGGAATGGAGTAGAGAAATTAATCACACGCTATTTTTCAACACCCTGTTGCAACATTTAAATTTTAAGTCAGAAGACTCTTTATAGGGCATAGGAAAACACACTCTGAATATTAGACTCAGAATATAAATTGCTTCATAGGACAGAAGCCAGCCCAATTCCGTGGAATTCTGTATTTTTAAGGAGCATTTCTCACTTTTCCTCTAACTTGTTCCTCTTTATTTTTGCAGAGCCTTTGGTTCTGTGGGACACATGTTTAACTGCTACATTGTTCAATTTGAACAAGAGTTCAGGTTGAGGAAGGCTGTAGTTGAGGCATTTACTAGGATTTCCTGTTTCGGGAGGCTCCTTTTTCCTCCTTGGTAACATGTTTTTTACATTAAAAAACAACTGCCTGTGTATTTTGGTATTATTTAATTCCCCAATTTAAAAGTCCATGTAGGAAAGGGGAAGGAAGACAGTAGTTTTCTTTTCCTTTCTCAATGACCTGAGACAAGCCAATCTCATTTATAATGAAGTAGGGAGCACCCGCCCTGAATGCTGTAGATCTCTTGTGAGACTCAAATAAATTATATGTGTTTTATATTTAAGGAATCAATATATAACAAAAATCTTGAAGGATTAGTAATTATATTATTATTATACCTGAGATACATAAGTTATATCTGAGAAAAATAAATTCATCAATATCCCAAGGGACAAAAGAGAGCTCCATCCATAGTCCATGGGAAATACAGTCTACTAATAATCAAAAACAAAATTAAAATTACAATACAATAGTATCTCATGTCTCCACCTCTTCAGAGTCAAAGAGAACATGACTGTAAGTAGTCCCCAAGTGATCTGGGGTCTGTTTGCTTTATGTATAATTTTTGTATTTCCCTCTGGAAAGTCACTAGGCAACTGAATAATTCCACAATGATTATGGAGTGAAAAAATAGAATGACCTACTTTTATTATCATGATTGTTTTAAAATGATACATATTCATATTAAACAAATTCACGATATTAAAAGCTACATTTCCTGTCTTAGCCCCTACGACTTATCCCTTTTCTCAGTTTCTGTTTTTAGTTCTAATGGTTTTCCCTTTGCTCTCCATTCTGATAAGTTTATATTTATTTTTTCTGCATAACCAAGTTTAAGCAGTATCTTTTGAGTCTCAGTAGAGGGTACTCAGTCGACAGACTGATCCTCATCTCTCCTCTCTCCTGAGTTTGTTTTATGTGTGTGCACCCTCAAACATACGGATACCCATATGGTGTTTAGGTTCTTCTCTAGGTTACTGAATTAGTTGTTCAGTAATATCCTAAACCTTTGTTCTTTCTTGTCTCAACTGTAAGCTCTGGGTGTTGTCTCAACACTACTCCCATCTCCACTCCTCCTCCTACCATCCTTCCTCTGTGGTATTCTTACATTCTCACCAGAGAGGTTGTCAACATTATTCTCACCAGAGAGGTTGTCAACATTCAGAACGGCTGCACAGCTTGAGAACAGTGCCTCCTGGAGGTGAGTAGTCACAACCTTGAGGAATAATGTAGGAACACTGATGACACATTTCATTGTTGTGTGTCTATAAATAATCTTTAAAATCTTGTCTAGGGACCAGCAGTTGGCATAGTGGCTATGTTGCTGAACTCCCATGTGGTCAACTGTGGTTCAAGTCTCAGACTCAGTAGCTTAAACTCACACCGGGAATGTGTGCGTGCGTGCCCAAGATCCCAAGAGGAGAATGGAGTAGAAGGGATTGTGGCATGGCCATCTCTCCTGGGAGTTGATTTCTCACTTTCTGTCCCTCTGTCTCTCTCTGTCTTCCTGGCAAGTACATGCATCCTATAGCAAAAACCTCACAAAAACAAAACAAAACAAAATCTTGTCTATAGGTAATTTATTGACACTGAAAAACAAGCAGCATTTACAAATGTTCTGGTTTTAGTAATGGTATCCACTTACCATTGAATAGTATTTCTATCACCATACCTTTTAAAGTCTTTAAAGTTTTGAAGTTTCATTAAAATAAGCCAAAATGAGGCTTTTTCTCATTTATCCTACTCAGTATTTTGTGGACTTTTTAAGATTACAGACTTATGGGGCTGGTGTAGAAAAGACTGACCAGAAACCAAGAACCACTGTGAGGGTAGGAGAACTCAGGTTTATTATGCCAGTGGACCCAGATGAGCTTGTATTCCCAAGTCTGGGCCTCCCTTGGGATAGTTGCAGGAGTTATATAGGCATCTGGGTCTGCTTTGAGGGGTGGTGATTGTACACCTGGGTCACAGGTGTCTAAAAAAACAGTTCATTCTTTCAGTTCTCAGAACTTTCTTTAGGCTGGAAGCCACATCCTGTTGAAGTGAGCAAATTTACAGAGACAGCTCAGCGATCAAAAAAAAACAGAGTCTCTATCTTGTACCCTTTAGATGTCCTTAGTCCTTAGCCTCCCTTAGGGCATCAATGATCCTCTGGTTCCAGCAAGCCCATGATATGGACCAAGGTGGCCCTAGCTATAGTGGTTTTAATGAAGTGGGTGATGGTACTGAGGAGGCATGGGTGGAGGGTGATTCTTAAGAAGATGATCACTGCAGGGCCGACTAGGGGCAAGATCCAGGGAGCCCAATTCCCCAGGAGGCATTCAGGTTCTGCCTTCTTTTGTGGGCCTGCTCCTTTAGCTGTTGGGACATGCGCTTTTCAATATCTGACTGGTTTCCAAAGTAACAACATTCTTCTGCCAAGAACACACAAGGTTCTCCCTTCTCAGTTGTTAAAATATCTAGGGCTCTCCTATTTCATAAGGCAACTTCTGCCAAAGAACCTAGCTGTTCCTGTAATGATAGGAAAGGGTCTGCTACCTGTTCTATGTCATCCGCCAGTTTTTGGGATAGTTTTCATTTTTGTTTTTGTTTAAGAGTTTTTTGCCTTAGGGCATGTGCACTAGCCAGAGACAGAGACAGTGAGAGGGAAAGTGAGAAATTACCCCCCATATGAGATGGGCATGCCACAATCCCTTCTCCTCCATTCTGCTCCTAGGATCTTGGACACACACACACACACACACACACACACACACGTGTCTAGTGTGATTTTCAAGCCACCAACCAGGAACTCGAACCATGTTTGGCCCTGTGGGAGTCCATCTGCTGGCCTCTGCTTGAGATAGTTTTTAATAAGAAAATGAATGGATATGGCTATGCCCCCTATTTCAGCAGGTGGCAAGGTGATATATGTGCTGGATTCCCACATAGTGAACTATGATTCAAGTCCTGGACTGGTGGCTTACTTTCTTGCTTTCCCTTTGTCTCTGCCTCTCCCTCTGGTGAGTACATATGCCGTATAGCAAATTAAATAATAATAGTACTAAATAAAATAAAATAATTCCTTAATACATAAATAAATAAAATTACGGACTTACTTCTTTTTCAGCTCCAGATAATTTTCTTCAAGTACATCTTTGATAATTTTTCCTTCTATTCTCCCTGTTCACTCTGTCCAAAATTTGTTTTCCCACTTTTTAATAACAAATTTGGCAATGACTTATTGAATGACATGACCCCCCCCCTTCTTGATTGTAGTAAAATACACAGAACGTAAAAATATCATCTTAGTAGTTTTTGTCTATTTTTTTTTTCATGAGACTGAGAGAGAGAAAGAAAGACAGTACCCTCAACAGGTTCTGCCTCAATACCTCCCCACCAACCTTCCCAGTCAGCCGGGATCCATAGCACTCATGGCCCTGGGTGTACATGTTGACCAAGAAACTTAATCCAAGATCCTCCAAATGAGTTCAGCATAGCTTTAGTACTGCATTAATGCTGGCCAATCTTAGTGGTGTTTAAGTATACAATTCAGTGTTATTAAATACATTCATAATGTTGTGCAACCATCACTACCATCTATCTCCATAACTCTTCTCATCTTGTGAAACTGAAATTTGATACTCATTAAACAGTAACTCCCAACTCAATCCTGGCAACCACTGTCTACTTTCTGTCTCTATGATTTTCGAACACTCTAAGTACCTTCTATAAATGCAATCATATAGTGTTTTAGCGGCTGACTTATTTCCTTTACAAGGCTAAATAATAGTTCACAGAATGTATATACCATATTTTTCTTATCTGCTCCTCTAATGATGAACACTTAGATTACTTTAGTTTTAGTTCCTGTGAATAAAGGTGCTATTAACATGTTTGTGCAAATATCTCTTTGAGATTGTTTTCAGTTCTTTTGAGTATATATCCAGAGGTGGAATTACTGAATTCAGCAACTAGTATGATCATTCTATTTTAAAAATTTTTAAGAATTGTCATACTGTTTTCCATGGTGGCTGTACCATTTCTCATTCCCACCAACAGTGTACGGGGGTCCCAATTTCTCCACATCCTTGAGGTGTATGTGTACACCATTGCATACGCAGATT